ACGAACCATCTACAAAGAGATGGAATGACCACCACCTGAACCAAAAGGGATTCAGGATACAGAAACAACGAACACTCAAACACAGAGGGAATTCTAAATGGAAACGAACTCAATTCTTTGCCTCTTTATTTCAAAAAAACAACTATTTATAATTACAAATACCACAAAAGGACGGAGCAGGACAGGCTACAGGAGAGCAAGGCAGACTACCGGAAAAATAAAGAAAACAGAAATAAGAAAGCAGCTGACGCTCTAGCGTTAGTTTCGAACCCTTAACAAACTTACACCTAGAAGCTGACGCTCTAGCGTCAGTTTCGAACCCATAACAAACTTACACCTAGAATCTTTGAGTGAACTACCTATGTTCACATTCACAGTTAGAATAGAGGAAAATTAGATCCAAGAGCACTCAAATGCATCTTTGTTGGATATTCAACTACTCAAAAATGTTACAAATGTTATCACCCCCTATATTAAAAACCCTTGTATCTATTGATGTTACCTTTGATGAACAATTTTTTTTTTACCCAACCTCATCTTTAGGGGGAGACCGAACTTGAGGAAGACGAGGAAAGTGTGCTTGCCCTTCTTGACCTTCATCCACCACCTCAAACCAATCCACCTGAAATTAAAGGCAGGGAAGCTGAAGACAGAGCTGTCATTAGGTTTGAGAATGTATATTCAAGGCATACAAGTTCAAACTGTGCTCCGAAGAAGATCCAAGAATTTGAACCATCTTCTGAAATTAAGGTAAATGCAAGTTCACCACCTCCCTTGTACCACTTAACAAACTTTATATCCTTCAATAAATTTTCATTCTCACACAGAAACTTCCCGGTTACACTAGAAGACATTCATATTTCTAATGATATTTATGAGGTTTTATCTGATGAAAATTGGAAAAATGACATGAAAGATGAAATGTAGGCCCTTAAAAAAAGCAATACGTGGGAGATCATCAACCTACCAATAAGAAAAAAAATCAGTCAGCTGCAAATGGGTGTTCTCTATAAAGTACAAAGTTGATGGTACACTGGAAAGGTACAAGGCAAGATTATTGGCGAAAGGGTATACTCAAATATATGGCATTGACTATGAGGAAACATTTGCACCTGTAGCCAAGATGAACATTGTTAGAATTCTTCTCTCACTAGCAGCTAAGTACAACTGGCATCTGGAACAACTGGATATAAAAAATGCATTCATATATGGGAACTTGGAGGAAGAGGTATTTATGGGGATACCACCAAGATTTAAGGAAAAGTCTGGAGGTGACAAAGTGTGTAGGTTGAAAAAAGCTTTATATGGGCTAAAACAATCACCTAGGGCCTGGTTTGGAAGATTCTCAAAATTCATGCTTTTTAACGAGTATCGACAATGTCAAGGGGACCATACATTATTCTTTAAACACTCAGACTTAGGGAAAGTTACAATATTATTAGTTTATGTGGATGATATTATCTTGATTGGGAATAATGAAAATTAGAAAGTCTAAGGAAAAGACTTACCAAGGAATTTGATATCAAAGAATTTGGCAGATTAAAATACTTTCTTGGAAATTAAGTAGCCAACTCCAACAAAATAATCTTCATTTCACAACAAAAATACATTAAAGATCTTTTGAAGGAAATATGTAACTAGCTTATAAATCAGTACCATCACCAATAGAATTAAATTTTAAATTAGGGGAAGCTAAAGAAGATCTAAATGTAGATAAGGGAGCTTACCAGAGATTTGTGGGAAAGTTGATCTGTCTTTCTCATTTCAGACCAGATATAGCATTTACTGTAAGTATGGTCAGTCAGTTTATACAAAATCCAAAACAGATTTATATGCAAGAGGTAGACATAATATTGCACTATCTTAAGGGAAACCCAGGGAAAAGAATTCTCTTTAGCAGAAACCACGGAATAACCCTGAAAGCATACACTGATGCTGATTATGCAGGTCACTGGTAAACAAAAAGATCTACCTCTGGATACTGCACATTCCTTGGAGGAAACCTAGTTACATGGAGATGCAAGAAACAAAATGTGGTGGTAAGATCTAGTGCAAAAGCAGAATATAGAGCTATGGCCTTGGGAATATGTGATTTACTATGGATCAAGATGATTTTAGAAGACGTAAGGATTAAGTGGGATGAACCTATGAAATTACATTGTGACAATAAATCAGCAATCAGCATAGCTCACAATCCAGTCTAGCATGATAGGACCAAACACATAGAAGTGAACAGACATTTTATAAAAGAAAATTTAGACAGTGGTCTTGTATGTATCAATCATGTATCATCAAAAGATCAACTGGCAAATATCTTTACCAAATGATTGGATAACTCTGTCTTTTTTAGAATGATTGCCGAGCTGGGAATGAAAGATCTTTATTCCCCAGCTTGAGGGCGAGTGTTAAATCCCAGCCTTTCATCTCCATATTGATCCCATGGCCACGAATAGGGATTTGTGGGAAGCTCGCCCCTTCTATAGTTAGGTAGCTGATTTAGGAAGGAATATATGAGGGCAATAATGCCTGATTTCGTGATTTAGTTATTTCTTTATTTAAACATTATGTATAGATCTATAAATAGAGATGAAATTATGTAATAGAGGAGAAGTTTTTCCCTCTTAAATTCCTAAATTCGACGGAAAGATATTATTCCCATGATCCTTCTCATATTTTTATTTTCCAATCTATCATTTATTAATTTGCCCAGTTATACATCTACCTTAGCAGTGGCATTCCCATCTTTGCCATTCAACTTGTTTGCCAGAGATTTTTTGATTGCTAGCTAGGAAATCACAATTTCATAAGATTTACTTCGTAATCTCTATGATATACTTTTTTTCATAAGATTATTGATGTATTTCTCTATTTTAACCATTCAAACTCAACTATAAATGGTTTATTGTCATTGTTAGAATTGTAGCATGAATTATGTTGGGTTTGAATTGAACAACTTGTGGTGCGAAATACGTTGAGAATATGATAATATTTTTTAATTTGGTTATGAGAATATTGTTTTAAGGGATATGTTGTTGTAGCAAAAGGATTGAGTTGTTTGCGGTATTGACCTTTTTTATTTTGCACATATATTTATATTACGCAATTATTGTTTACAGTCATATTATGTGTGAGCTGGCACTCTCCTCTTGTATCTATTTTTTGATAGTGAATTCTAATCCTTTATTTGTGAATTCTTACCTGTTTAGCTTTTTCCATATAAATATCGGTATTTCTTGATTTATATTTTTTGTCAATTTTTGATATAATTGTTTCAATCATTCATTCCCATTTTATCCTTTGGAAATCGAAATATTATTGGCTTTGGCCTATATATATTTGCCACATGGCAGACAATTTCAGCCCTCAGATGTTCTGAAATCTTATTTCACTCGACAAAATGGAAATACACTTGCAGAAATCATGACAGCAGATAATGAAAATAATTAATTTCCTATTGTATATAACTCTTTAGGGGAGTGGAGGTGTCAGTCTGTGATGTGCTTTTCTGTTTGTTTAATAGAGGGTATTCTGTACTTAGTTTTTCTTCGTTTATTGATGACGGTCGTATTAGTTCAATTTTAGTTGACACATAGCCGATGAATTTGTTTGTCAGCTCGGATTGGTAGCAGCATGTAGGACTACAATGCTTGCAATGAATTGATTAAGATCTTGCACAACTTATTGATTAGAGAAATAACAAATAGACCTATTAGCAAATAAAACGAAGAATCAAAATGCACGAGCGGTCACTGTCGTTAGGCTAAGTTGCACATCAAAATATTTGAATCATCAAAATAACGTAGGAAAATAACATCATGCAACAGTAGTAGCTTTCAACGAAAATCCCTAGTCTAACAATAAGATTAGAAAATAAATGAATGCACTCAAATTCCTATGTTTACTAAGTATAGCATAATCGGGCGAACGCGTCCTTCGCGACTACAATTAAATCACAAGAAATGATTAGACTTAAGAAATACAAAAAAGGAAAATTAGAAAACCTTCGTCAAGGATCGGCGGCAATCCTCCACTTGACGATCTCAAGTTGTTCTTCGATAACTTCAACCGATGTGTCCAAGATGCGCTATATGTATTCCTCAACTGTATGGTCGATCTTTGGATTGACGTCGAAGAAGGTTGAATAGAGAATATGCACGAAGCCGTGTTCGTCGTAGGCAAGTCCATAGTCAGTGTCGGGATCAGCCATTCATGAATGCTAGATAACGATTTCTTGCAAAGATTGCTAGTAAATTGGAACTCTATTGAAGAGAAAGAAGTTTCTTGTCAACTTGAAACGGGGGTGACTAGGTATGGCCGGCCAAGGGATGGAGGCTTAGGGAGAAATTAGGTTAAGATTTTGTGGAGCAAGAAGTGTCAATCACTCCTCTAATTAATCCTCATGCATGGAATTAATTAAGAGGAGATGGAGAGAGGTAGGGGCGGCGGCATGAGAGGGAATTAGGGGGGAATTTGTTTCCAAATTTCAATGCTTGCTTTAGGAAAGAAGATAAGGAGGTGTGAGGTTATGAGATTTCGGCCAAGTAGGGATTAGGGGATTTGAAATTATTTCCAAAGTAAATAATTAGATTTTAGGAAAGAAATAAATGGGGATTAGTGGGATGGGGGGCCGACGGCATCCATAGCAGGGAGAGGGATTTAGGGAGAGCAATTAATATTGCTTGATTTGGATTTGAATATTTAGAAAGGGATATTTAAATCCAATTTGAATTTTAAATTCAAATAGGATTTAATTAGGAAACTTTCTAAAAATAGGATTCATAAATTAGGAAACAATTCAAACTCAAATTAAATTTGGATTTGAATTAAACAAGTTTCCTAACCTAGGAAGACCCAAAATGAAAATATTTGACACAAGCCAAAGGGGGACAACACATGGAGGCTGGCGGCTTGGCTGGGCTTGCCTCCTGGTTTGGGTGAGGTGGGGGGGATCGGGTGAGGAGGGAGACTAGAGATATTATCCCAAGGTCCAAGGAGAGAAGGGCTTGTGGTTGGCTGGTGGTGGAGGTGTTCGTTGGGAAAAGAGAGGAGTAAGAAGGAGAAAAGAATTTCAAAACTAACCACGAATTCGGACTCTTCCAAGATTGGTGGGTGATCCAATTCCCTCTCCTAGGGATCTCTCTCTAACCTTTCTCAAGCTCTCTCAATAACTCAAAGCACGGGAAAAATCTTTATCATTCATTCATTAACTTTAGAAGAAGAACAAGAGGGCTATAAATAGCCTCGTACAAAAAAGGACTCAAAGATAAAAGATGACCTTGCCCTTAGGGCTTACATACGACTTCCATTAAGCAAGGGGTAAAACGGGAAAAACAATTACAACATAAATAACAAATAACAAATAACATAATAAAACAAATACATATAATAACTCAAAACACATCGACTCAATCGTGACCATATATCGACGGCCACGCCTCATATATTCTTTTCATGCTTTGATGTCCCCATCACAGCACTTATATGTTTTCTCTTAATTTTTTGAATCCAACAACTACCTCCAGCGTCTTGCAGATGTTGAATTCCCTATCTTTTCTTTTTAATAAATAATCCATGTATCATGTAATACAGAAGCTCAAGGTTGATAAAGCATAGAGGAAGGACAGTGGAAGTGCAGGTGCAATGGCAATGGATACCGAATTACCTGTGCTTGGTATGTAGAAAAACTTCGACAAGTCTTGTTTTCTTGAAACCTTGCGCTTTTTTACGCTGTTGCGTTGTCCCCAAAGTGTTTCATACGATTGTTTTAGACAAGCAGGGGTAAAAGATCGTTGTATTAACTGAGAATTATCTGTACATCAGACTAGAATTCTTTTGTTTCAGAAATTAGAAGTTGCTGCTTCTATCAATTATTTGGCAAAAGTTGGGGTTCGGCAAAAGACCGAATAACTGATAACAAGAGTGACAGTCGTGTAGGTGAAGGAGCCAATTTTCAATATTGGTGCAACTCAAGATGACCATTCTAAAATTTTAAGATTACTTCATATATCTACACCCTAAATTAACTAGGTAGATGAAAGTGAATTGTTGTTGGGTTTTGAAAGTGTTGGAGAGGAGTAAAACAAGCGGAGGATTATACACAAGGAGGAAGAAGAAAAGAAAATATTTGGAATATGCATCTAAATTATAGTCTATACAAATATTTTATTATTTTCTTTCATCTTTCGCAGTTAATGTAAAGACTTCAATATCAGATTTAAATGTTTTTATTATAAGGAACTCAATTAGGGAACCTAAATGCTATTGTTATTATAGTATTTGTTGTGAAAGGAAGAATAAATCAAGAGAAAATATTTTGGTGTATTATAAAAGTTGCAAGAAGAGAATAAGGAATGTACATGAAATATAAATTAGAAATTTTATTAGATGAAATCTAAAATTAAAAATGCTATTATTTAATGAGTAGTGATTATTATGTTTAGATGCTTGATTGACCTAAAATGTTTTAGGTTAATTTTTCATGAAGAAGAAGAGTAAAATGAAAGATGAAAAAAAAAAAAAGGTTTTACGAATTGCAAAAAATAAAATATATGAAAGATATTTAGGTTATGCTATGTGCTAAATGTTGATATTATCTATCTATTTTTATGAGTTTAAGATTTATGATGACTTAAGCAAGTAATTAATATGACATTATATGTATGATGCACAAGTTGTGAAGGAGTTTCATAAAATTAAGCCAACATTGAAGTAACATTAAAGTGGAAGTGTTGGTCTTCTAAAATAAATTGAGCAATTGTAATTTTATTTTATAATAATTAACAGTTCTCTTATCTCAAATTCAATGCATTAACTGACTTATTCTCCTATATACACATTGGATATTATTTATGATACAATTTATCATTGACAAATGATTAAAATAAATGTTCTCTTTTTCTTGCATAAAGATCTTCATATTGTTAGAAATATTAGATGAAAAGCATCTCATTGCAACATTAAATATTGACAATTTCAGAAGTATATTTATGATAAGATGAATGAAAATAATATAATACGAAATGCCCTTATCGATTGATATTCACTCTCTTATGGTACTAATCAGGACACAAAGGTGCACTCATAAAATTGAAAATATTTGAACAAAAAATGAAAATGGATGTACCTAAGTGGCACAAATTTAGGTTGTGCTCTTGTAATGGATGTACTTTATTAAAAGATAAGATATGCTATAATAATTTTTTTTTTTTATAACAAATGTCAAGTTACATAATGATAAATGATTTTTCTCTTCTTGAATAGATTATAAATTTATATGTTTTAATTTTCTATCAAATCAGATGTTAATGCTTACTATAGATGACCTACATACAAATTATTTCTATTCTAAAATTTTTTTATAATATAGCACTGTAATTAGCCACTGAGTTATTGTACGGCGCAACCAAAATTAGTGTACAGAAGAAGATCAGCAAATGGTAATAGGTATTATAGAAAAAATATAATCAGCTTAAGTTACTTTGTTTGAATTGTATAAGGTAGAAATGATTTATGTATGATTTGTACAAGAATGAAATTTTATTGTTTAGTGACTCTTTATATTGAATCCAAAATTATTTTTTGAGCTGAAAAGAGAACAGCTAGAGAGAGAAAAAATAATTCTAGAGACTCTAGGAATTCCTAAAAATATGCTTGATTACAAAAGAATTACCTAAATTGAGCCGACCCCTAAAAATAATTAGTCTTTTTAATTCATGAAATTATTATGGAGTCATAGATCCTTTAGTTAGTGCAACTATAGGTCGCTACTTAAAAATACTTAAATGTTAAACTACAAATATTAAGTTGGTTGTTTCATTGTTGCTTCTTTAAATTTACTCGGTAGGCTTCTTAAGTGAGACCGACTAAAGATGGAAGTATGCCTTTTTTATCTATTAATTTTTACATTTTGAAGGCTTCCTAAGCTTCCCATGCTCCTCCACACCCACCCAACCCCTCACCATACACACTCAAAATTGCATTTTGTATTGCCATTTATATGTATAATATTTTTTTTTTTTAAGTTTGTCTAAACCTCATTTATAATCTTTTTCTTTATTTAACTTCTTTAATTCGTAACGTAGAATCCTTATAAATAAACACCAAGTGTTCATAAGTGTTCTGTTCTTGCCCCATCTACCTAGTGTGGATGTTGGAAGGATTTTGGCCTCACTTGTTGAAAGCAGGTGTAAGAAGTTATGTGACACTATTCTTTTCTGATTCTGACCCCACTTGCTATAAGCATATGTAGGTTTTTAAAGGGAGGCATAAATGAAAGTGAAGTTATAAGCAGACATCAAGACATATGCATTATAATCATTGTATTACATTTATATTAATGAATTAAGTACAAGTAATACTCTAAATAAAAAAAATAAAAAAAATAAAAAGTACAAGTAATACTCTGCACTGAATATTAAAAAATCCTAAATCTCTGTACAAACATGGTAAAATGTGAAGGCCAATTGCAAGTGAATCTATGATGACATGTATTATGTAATGTATTTGAAAATCTCTACAAAAGTGGCCTTACAGTAAGTGATACTTTGAAAATAAGCATATACTGATACCCTAAAAAATTATATTTTACTAGTACTTCACTTATTACTAATAAGTTATTACCTTTTTAATTAATTTTCAATTTAATTTTTTATTTAGATATTGATATATGTGATTGGTCAGTTAAAGAAGCCTATTGGACCAGTTGTTCTCACTCTATTTTTTTTGATATTTCAAGTAAAAGGAAGGGTCCAACAGAGTATATAAGGTGTAGAGGCAAGTTCCCTGGAGTCTGACTAGAAAGGTACTATTTTGTAATCAAGTATTTTCATTATTTTATGTCTAAAAATGTTAAACTAGACTAGTGTATTTATATTTTTTGATGAAATAAAAAAATGTTCGTATTTCTTTATCGTTTGGATTTTGTCGTAGCACCGGTTGTTTCTATTAGTGGCTGAGTTGTATATTCATAGGTTTAGGTTTTCAATATGTTTCATAGATCCTACATTATCATAAGGTGGTATGTGAGTAATTGTTTGGAAGGATGGGATTATAACTTGAGCTATTGGAAATTATTTGCATCAGTAAAAGAAAGGAGTTGAGAGCTTAGTTTAGAAGTTTTTTTGTTTGCCTGATCTAGGTATGTGTATAATTGAATCCATCTATTCTTCATATAGATTAAAGTGTTGCTACTTTATGTACCCCCAAGAGCAAGAGATGGTTGATGGATAGAGTTTTAATCATGCTATTAAAGTTCAAAGTACTATGGGGGCTATGGCTTTTTACGTTGAGCTCCATGCAGCTGAAGATTAGTTAATGAGAATAGATAAATCTTTTGATTGTATGCATAGTCCTGAAGGTAAAAAGGTCCAGTTGGTAGTGTTCGTGTTAGATGGAGAAGTAGAGCCTGGTGGATAGGTCAATAGAGGAAGAGATTCTATGATAGTTCGAATGTAGAGATCTCTTGTGAGGAGTTTGTGGAGACTTTTAGGAGTTGGTTTATGTTGCCATCTACCAAGAAGCATATACAAGAATCCTTTTTTAGATTGGTGTAGGGGAGCAAGAAGATGATGCAATATGAGGCAGAGTTAACAGCTCTTACAAGGTATGCTTCTCAATTAGTCAATACCCCTGAGGATAACTGTTATCATTTTTTGTGAGGTTTGAGAAACAGTTTGAGGCATCATCTTATACAATTTCACATCCATGATTTTTTGGAGCTTATGGAGGAACTATGTTGGTGGAGAATTACTGATGTTCACCCAACAACGGTGAGATATATGCATGAATTTTTTTGAGGAGAGCCTTCCAAAAGTGCTTTCAGTGGGAAGAGATCCATAGTAGAGACTGGTGATCCCAAAAGGGGAGGCTAGTACTATCTGGGAGGGTTGGATGATCTGTATCAATTAGCAGTGCTCCTATTTATAATTTTTGTAGGAGGAGGCATACAGGTTGGTGCTTTTTATATGCTGGTCGATGCTTTAGGTGTGGCTAGGCGTGCCATAAGGTGGTGCAGTGTCCATAGAGAGCACCGGAACGTAGGTCTAAGGCCAGGGGAAGCCAAAGTCAAAGGCAGCTACAAGCCCCTTTTAGAGCAGTCAATGAGGCCTTGTAAACCCGTAGTAGAGGCATATTTGGATAGAAATCATCATATGAGTCAATAGGAGTTCTAATAGAGTTCATTGTTGTGGATAATGCAACCCCAGTAATTTAGAGTACATAATTTGACTCAGTAGGAGGCAAAAGAGGCACTGAATATGGTAATAAGTAACACTACAGGAAAATCACCCATTTCCGGCGGCTTTTTCTTGCGGAATTTAAGCATTTTTCGGCGATTTTCTAATTTAGCGGCGGTTTTCGAAAATAATTTCCGGCGGCTTTTTCTGACGGAAAATAATGCCGGCGGCTTGCCGGCGGACATAAACCGTCGGTTAAATTAAAAAAAAAAATCTCACGTGCGCCACCCCCTCCAGCCGCTACCGCCACCCCGCGCAACCCTCATCCCAGCGAGCCGAAACCCGCTTGCGCGGCACGCAGTGCCCGCTCCGGCCGTCAAGCCCGTGTGCGCGGGTCGCGCCAGACCGCGCGGCCTCCGCTCGCCGCGCCAGACCGAGGTCACTCCGGACCACGCCCGCGTGAGCCAGCTTGAGCCCGTGTGCGCCAACGCCGCTCCGCGCTTGTCTTCCCTGAGAATCGAACCTCAGGCATCTTCACCCGTAGCCCCCCACCCGCGCACAAGTCTAACCGATGCGCCGATCCTACAAAATTAACAAATTCAAGTATTTTTTTTATTTATATTAAAACATGTTGAATATTATAATTAAAACTTGTTTTATTTAAATTTTTATTTTAATTGATAATTAAAATAAACTAGTTAGTAACAATTAATTAAAATATACTTTAAAATTATTAATGAATTAAATGTGTTATTAGTGTCAAATTTTTTTATTTAAACTATCTTTCTACATAAAATAAAATTAATAAACCAACTAAATTAATTAAAAAAGT